GAACGAGAAATGGAACGACGGGAGAGAACTCGTTCTGAACGAGAATGGGATCGGGACAAAGTTAGAGAGGGGCCCCGCTCCCGATCACGGTCCCGTGACCGCCGCCGCAAAGAGCGAGCAAAATCTAAAGAAAAGAAGAGTGAGAAGAAAGGTAACTGAGGAGGGTAGGGTGTTCATGTCTCTTCCCGGCTGGAGGGACAGGACCCAGGTGGGTTGGGTTGAAGGGTTTTAAGCATTTGATGTTGATTTCCTCCCACCACAGAAAAAGCTCAAGAGGAGCCACCTGCCAAGTTGCTGGATGACCTTTTCCGTAAGACTAAGGCAGCTCCCTGCATCTACTGGCTCCCACTGACTGAGAGCCAGGTGAGTACTCCTTTGCTGAGTAGTGGCAAAGTGAGAGGTGCACCCAGGTGATGAATGTGACTGGGGTGAATAGGCCCTGGCATGGCTTAGGGATAGCAGGGGTGAAATGAAGTATTACAGAAAGTCGGCTTTAGGAAACAGCCACTAGAGCTGGAGAGACTGCCCTCCCAGAGAATCTAGGTTCAATTCCCAGCTCATAACTGTCTGTAATTCCTGTCAGTTTCAGGGCACCTGACACCCATGGCAAAACACCAATGTACATAAAATAAAAATAAATAATTTAAAAAAAGAAAACAACCACTGAGAGTGCTGTAGAGAAAGTAAATGTGACCATAAAGGCAGGAACTAGAGCTTTGGTTTTCAAGAAGCTGTGGCTGTGTTACCCATGCTTCTTAGAACTTGATTTATGAGCTGAGAAATGTGTTTTATAAAGTCTTCTTTATACAGGTCATCTCTGCTTCTTAATGTCTAGAATTGCTTTTCCTGAGGGTTTCAACGCATTTCATTAGTATATATGTTGAAAGGGGATGTGCTTGCCGTGGTGCTCATGTGGGGGTCAGAGGACAGTTTGGTGGGATTGGATCTTGGGTGGACTAAGTTGACAGGCTTTTGCAACAAGGGCTTTTAATACAGCGAGCCATCTTGCTGGCCCCTTAATGTGAATTAAAATTTAGGGGAATTTTGGGCTTAATGCTACTTAGACTTGTTTGTATCTAGAGTGATGGAAGCTAGGATAATACCAAAGAGACTGCACACAGATGGTGCCAGCCTGTCATGTATTGGGGGGGGGGTGCACAGCTCATCCCCCATGCCTACACTTTTTCTGTTTTAACAGTAAAACTGACGGTGACCTTGAGCTAGAAGTTTGGGGTCTGGGGCAAGGTATACAAAGTGGACCAATTCAGACAGGATTGTAATTGCTTTCTGTCTCTGCCCTTCCTGCCTCGCCAGATTGTTCAGAAGGAGGCAGAGCAGGCTGAACGGGCCAAGGAACGGGAGAAGCGGCGAAAGGAACGAGAAGAAGAAGAGCAGAAGGAGCGGGAGAAGGAAGCTGAGAGGGAACGGAACCGACAGCTAGAACGGGAGAAGCGAAGAGAGCACAGCAGGGAGAGGGAAAGGGACAGGGAGAGGGAGAGGGACAGGGGGGACCGAGATCGGGATAGGGAAAGAGACAGAGACCGAGGCAGGGAGAGGGACCGCAGAGACACCAAGCGCCACAGCAGAAGCCGGAGTCGAAGCACACCTGTACGGGACCGGGGTGGGCGCCGCTAGCTAAGAAAACACTAGAGAGCTGCAGGTACCTGCCACTCTGCCCTGGGAGGTTAAAGGCCACAGAGGGATAGGTACAATCACCACCACCCTGGAACCAAGGGTCTCTCACACCATTGCTCAGTGCTGAACTATAACTGCCACCCATCCCCACATACCAAATAGAGCAGTGGCAACCTCTCCCTCCCCCGACCTAACTCTTGGAACTTAGTCCTCCTCCTTTCTTCCCATTAAGTCTGAGAGGTAAGAGCTAGGTTATGGAAGGAAGGGTTTGGCCAGAAGTGGGAATAGCCAAGTGCCCCGGACCTCTCATCTTCCCTCCGTCCTGCTTTCCACCTCCCTTGGGTACACACACAGCCTTTTGGGAACAGCCGGGGCCAGGACTGGGTCACCTATGAGCTGAATCAGCCTCTCCTCCTGAGTCCCAGGGCCCCTGCAGTTCCCGAGTCTGTTTTGTCCTGCAGCCTCTTGCCCTCTGGTTCCACTTTATATCCACCTTTTCCTTTTGTTCAATTTTTATTTTTATTTTTTTTATTATTAAATGATGTGGTCTATGGAAAAAATAAAAATCTGACTTAGTTTTAACCAGTATTTGAGTGCCTTTCCTTGGGAAGGGTTGGGGTGGAAGGGGCAAGTTGAATGGCTATGAGCATGGTGGGCCTCTGCGTTCTTCTGGCGCAGCCGCCTCCCTCAGGGATTCCCATTACCGCCTCAGCTCTAATCAGCCCAAAGCTGTATGCCTTTTTCACTGGTAAATAGTGTGTCCTGTGTCCTTTGTAGGACCCCAACAGCTAGCAGGGTCGGCTTCCCAGTCCCCTATGCAATTAGGCATTTGGTCCCCCTCAAGATGCTTCCCACAACTACCACCAGGTGGCGCAAAGCACTCTAAAATAGATCCTTGCAAAAGCGCTTCCCTAAAAGATTCTCTCTCCCCACCGATGTGCCCTGTCCCTGGCGAGCTCCCTAGAACCCCGCTTCCCCTGCCGTCCTTAAGCTCACCCTAACCGACTCAAGTCGATGTTGTGATCCGCACAAGACCCCCGAGGCAGCCGCCCCCGAACCCAAAATGTGAAGCCGGGTCTCCCGCAGTGCTCTCCCGGGGCCCCACCTCACGGTATGCCTCC